ACAACGTTTTCAGCAACACCCCCGTCCCCACCCTCCCTTCAGGTCCAAGCGCTCCTGACAATGGACATCGGTGAGATGGCGGGGACCGTCCGCCCGGATAGCGTATGGAGCATCGCCACCAAACCCGTCACCGGAGTCAAGCTGGGACAGGACCACATGCACCTGCTGGGGACCGTTTCCGTCACCGGTGAAGGCGGCCAGCCAGCCAGGCGGGGGGGCCCTGCATGTTCCGATGACCTGCCTGAGGAGATCGAGTACAGCGGAGATGGCGAGGATGACGAGAGTGATGACGAAGTGGGGCCCAGAGGTGGGCATCAAGAAGGGGCCTTGCATTGTCTAATGCAACAGCGGTTGCGATCAGTGTTCCATTTGTTGGCTAGCTGTTCATAGTTCCTGTATGAGACGACACCACGGGCACAATATGCCCTCTTGCAACACCCGCAGCAGCCAGCGACACCATGAACACACGGGATGAGGCCGCGGGTCGCGCTGGCGGTGAGAGCGGCGAGGTGGCTGGCGAGGGTCCCGTGGTCGGCGAAGGAACCGTGGGCGGTGAGGAACCCGCGGGCGGCGAGGAACCCGCGGGCGGTGAAGAACCCGCGGGCGGCGAGGAACATGCGGGTGTTGAGGAACCTGTGGGCGGTGAGGAACCTGCAGGCGGCGAGGAGGCGCGCGATGACGACCAGTCTGACTCCGACGGAGGAGAGCGTGGACGCCTGCTGAAGCGGCCGCGTGATGTCAGCATACTGCTGGCCTTGCGCGTGTTCACACGGCGGTTCAATGCTTGCATCGCCCGTCAACCCCGTGACCGTATCCGTGGCAGGTTTTGGGGTGTCGACATGCGTGAGGCTGTCATGTTGCTGAACGAGGGTGACGAGGATCACCTTTCAGACGGCGACTATGTGGCCGTGCTGGAGGAGGTGGAGGGCCGCGCAGTAGTGCGTGTGGCCCTGGTGGAGGGGCTGCTCTGCCCCCAGGGGCGTGGCAGGGGTGCAGCCCGTTCTCGCCTGTCTACCACCAGGCGGCTTGACATCGGTAACCCAGATGGCAGGTTGCTGCTCCGCCTTCTACACCCTTCGCAAACCGGTGAGGCAGTCATCTGTGCGGGTGGAATGCAAGCGCCTTGGGGCTAATGACTCGGAACCTGTATGTAGGCGCAAGCGGACAATACTTCCTACCACACGCGGTCGACCGGGACCCGAACGAGCTGTGGGAGACCAAGTCCATCGTCCAAATCGTGTGCATGACCCCTGGCCCGGACGCCATCCTAGGCGGCAACTACAACCTGGACCAACAGGACACGCAGGTGTGTGTAGTCGATGACAGACAGTTGTATCGGTGGCACAAGTCGGCTTACAGGATACTTTCGTGTACCCTGCAGGCGCTGCGTGCGTACTGCACCGCCAACCAGTGCACCCTCGACGATGGAGAGGGGGATGAACCGAGGAGGCGGCGTGGAAAGGGCAGGGCGGCGCCTAAGCCCGAGGGGCTCCGCCAGCGGAAGCTACAACGGGACATGGACCCAGACACTTTGGCGGACTTGAACAGTGTGCTGGAAAGGCCCATGCCGGTACCGGTCGGACACAGCACCCGCGGTCGGCCGAGGTACAAGAAAGTGCCCCACAACGCATGACCTGTTGGCCTTCCGGTCGAGAGGCTACTGCCTCGTTCGATGCAACGTCGCCGTTTGTACGTGAGAGTGGCGGGGCGCTGACGGCATGCATGGCAGGCTACATGGGTTGGGGCAACAACGCGCCCCCTCGCAGCATGATCTAGGCGTTGTGCATTCGGAGATTGTGCGTGTGTGCCGTTGTTCAATGCGGCCCTTTAGTGTCGTACGATGCTTGTAGAATGAACCGCCTGCCTACCTGTACACTTTTGTCGCCGTTTGTGCCGTAACGTGAATAAGGAGGGGCGTCGGGGACTGTGCGCTGACGGCATGCGCGACTAGCTTCGCGGGTTGGGGCAACAACGCGGGCCCCCCCCCCCCCCGCAGCATGATTGTTGTGCATTCGTAGGGTGTGTGTGTGCGCGCCGTTGTTCGGAACGGTACGGGGCCAGATAAGTCGATGCGGCCCTTTAGTGTCGTACGATGCTTGTAGAATGAACCGCCTGCCTACCTGTACGCTTTTGTCGCCGTTTGTGCCGTAACGTGAATAAGGAGGGGCATCGGGGACTGTGCGCTGACGGCATGCGCAACTAGCTTCGCGGGTTGGGTCAACAACGCGCCCCCCCCCCCCGCAGCATGATTGTTGTTCATTCGTAGGGTGTGTGTGTGCGCGCCGTGTTTCGGAACGGTACGGGGCCAGATAAGTCGATGCGGCCCTTTAGTGTCGTACGATGCTGATAGAATGAACCGCCTGCCAACCTGCCTGTGTTAAAATGGATACCCTGCTTGCAAAATGCTCGACTTTGCCCAGTCTATGAGATAATAATATGCGCTAAACGACTTGGAGGCAACCTTCAGCTGGTCAGCTTGACGTGGGAGGGTTTGGGATAGAAACCTCAAAGGGATTGAGATTGACCACGAGGGGATTGAGATTGCCCTATGAGGGGATTGAGATTGCCTCACGGGGGGATTGAGATAGACCAACAGGGGATTGAGATTGACACAACAGGGGATTGAGATTGACACAACAGGGGATTGAGATTGACACAACAGGGGATTGAGATTGACACAACAGGGGATTGAGATTGACACAACAGGGGATTGAGATTGAGACCCCTTGGATTGAGTTTACACTTTCGGATTGAGACCAAGGGGTGGTTAGGATTGAGGCCAGTTGCCTACCCTCCTCTTGGATTGAATGAATGAAGAAGAGAATAAGAAGGACAACAATCAAACAGGCACGAGCGAGACGCCAGGGTCGGTCTAAAGTTGCCGAGCATGAAGGAACCAACCCATAAAGGATCATGCCATTTGCTTATGAATCTATAATGTAAGGGACATGCAACGACGTCAGAGGCAAGGGCTGCGGCGTGAGGGGAAGTCAAACTCGAAGCCATGGAAAGCTATCTTCGCGCTCCGATATATCTGAATGTTCTCCTGTGGAAATTCGATAAAGATTTGAAGTAGCTTTTACATGCAATCTTTAGCGGAGTGAGACGTAAATTGATCTCAATCTGAAAAGCTATCTTCGCCCACAGATATATCTGAATTCATTCCCTTGGTCTATCAGAGAATTAGAATAGTTTCAGACGCAATTTAAAGCGGGGTGAGATATGAAAGTTAATATGGAAGCTAACTTCGCCCACAAATTTATCGGAATTAATTCTATTGGTCCATCGATAGAGATTTAGACTAGCTTTCAGACCAATTTTAATCGGGGTGAAAAAAGAGAAATGTTACACCATGACTGACTGATTGCATCGCGCCCGGGCCCAAAAAGGCTTCTACGGCATCCCAGCCGCAGACGTATCGCCCAAGTGTGCATTGTCCTACTAGGAAATTCTCAAATACAAGCTGTTTGTAATTTCCTGTCTGCGACATCACATGCTAGTATGATGTCCATCGCCCCCATTGTATGTGCGCTCCCTTAGCACCAATGTTGATTTTCATTTTTTCTGCTTAGGTAAAAATGTGGATGCTTTTAAACGTGGTATCTGTTGTAGAATTAAGTTTGTGGCAGTCAGCCCTCTGAGCGAACTGGTTTCGGTACCATGCCGTGCAGATTGCACGGCATCTCTGGGCTCTTGCCTTTATTAGTTCTGGCGTAATCTCGTAATACAACGATGTGCTACTGTTGTAGGTAATACGTGCTCAATCAACAACGTAGTTACCGTTTATAGCAGGTTATGGGCCTCGGATTAGGCCGGAGCCAACTACGTAAATGTCTGAGAAGTTGACCTACACGGAGAGGCTTAGCGTAGCTAATAGAATTACCTGGTTCTTATGGATGAAAGCTGAGATCACCAAGGCGAAAGCTGGAAATGCGCTTCTCAATGCACGCGACGCCAGCAATCCTATCTCGGTGGACCATCATTAGACGGCATGCGCCGTCTCGTGCTCCGGCTGTGGACGGACTTCAACGGGTCCAAGGTGCAGCCGACTCAAGATCTACGAGACTACATTAAGAAGATCAAGAACATTGTCGCGGAGCTTACCGCATACAAGCAGTCCGTGGCGGATGCGAACGCGGTCTCGGTCGCCCTTTTGGGCTTTCGTTCGCATCCGTCACGGACTGCTTGCGTGCAGTAAGCTCCGCGACTTCTTCACGTAGTCTCGTAGACTTTTAGTCGGCTGCATCTTGGACCCGTTGAAGTCCTTCCACAGCCGGAGCACGTAATTCTCCTGTACTGTTCGTCAAGCGCATAAAGTAATTGCCGCGCGTCCTGGTATTTTTCGAGGAGCGAAAGATCCTGATCAACGAGTAGACCACAGATGACGGCGCACATGGGGTTGCTGGCGTCGCGTGCATTGATAAGCGCATTTCCAGCTTTCGCCTTGGTAATCTCAGCT